ATTGAAGGCCACCATTGATGTTCCTCAAGTTGGAGAAATCAACTTTTTCTGCACACTTTTGGATCATCTAGATGAGAATTGGAGAATGAAGCAAATAAACTCCATAATCCAATCGACCGGAGTTCCACACATTTTGGCCGGAGGCCTAAATTCGTTAGACGAGACGGATTACTCGCACGAGAGATGGACGGATATCGTGAAGGTGATCAATATCGGAGAACACAACTTTTTTGTACTATATATTGAAAACTATAGTAATATTGTTCTTGATTATTTTTCATATCGCGATAGAAATTTGAAAAAACGTGTGTTTTTTAATATGATAGTACTATGAAGAAATGGGTAAGCCGACACCTAAGTTTGAGGTGATGAAGTATCTAAAGAGTAAGGGATACGTAGACGCCAAATACTTTGCGGGCGAATGTGAATCGGTTGTTATGATCGCCAAAGGTCAAAGTAAGTACCAAACATAGAAAATTGAGATAACTGCAAACCAAACACAAATTTCTAAAGGGTGGTTGTGTTTCATAACCTTTCTAAATACACAAATTCTTGTATGAAGCGTGCTGATCATCTTTTTCATTTTTTGTGTTTTTAAACGAAAACAGATTTACTTATGTTGTTTTTCAGAGTATGACATTTCAGTTTTTGAATGTATGTAATAAATGTTGTCTTTAAGTCGTGCATTGTGTGTTTTTTCGATTTTGCACGATGCAGGCGTACAAGGGACATGCAAATATGGGACACGAGTGGATTATATACTATCGTCTGCAAACGCGCCATACAAATTTGTTCCTGGTTCATATTCGGTGATCTCATCCAAAGGAACTTCAGATCATCACATAGTGAAAGTCGACTTAATCAAAGTTGCCGATAGTCCTCAACAATGCGCGAGTGGGAAGATGGGACAAGAGAGAAAGAGGATAGTGAAGATCACTCATTCTTCATCTCCAACAAAGTGTATATGGAAAACACATTCTTGATGCACTCTAATTCGTTTTCCTTTTTCCTTTTTTTTGACTTAATTTTTTTTGGTAGAAATTGAAAGTTTAGTAGAAGAATTGATCATTAGGAAGACCTTTTTTCCATTTAAATTATTATTTATTAGTATTATTTTTTAACATTGGTAGCTAAAATGATGGAAATTTGTACAGATTTGTTTGCACGTAAGTTCTTGAGTTGAAATGTTAATGCATTTTGAAACGTATATTTGTCACGGAGTGCGCTAATAGTAGTAAGAACCAAAGTAAGAATGGTGAAATGCGGAAGCAAACAACCAAAGAATAATTAACTCTTCGGGGAAGCGTCCCACTTCCCCTCATAGCTCTTTCATTGATAGATCACTCATAAACATAGTTTGGACTTACAACGACTTGAACTCCCTTCAAATCTAGCCAACACTACTTGATCCTATCAACTAATTCTCCGGCCACGTCCCGTGGACTTATAAATCTACACTTATTCCCTAAGTGTACAAATCGTGAAATAGTTTTGATGAAATGTAAAAGAACTGAACAAATGCAGTATCAGTCCTTGAGTTTGTAAGAACTCTTAGACTGTACTAATTACAATCAAAATAGAACAGTAAGCAAGTGAAGCTTGAATGCCTCTCGAATATTTCTCAGTGTGTCATCCACGGCCGCCATAAGCTTCTCCTAGGGTATATATAAGATCTCCTTAGGGTTGGAGTCTTCTACAAGGCATAGGACTTCATCAAGATTTCCTTCCAAGATAATAACATATCTTTGGTAAGTAAACCTTTTATTCTCTCTCCTTGATCTCCTCTCCAAGCATGTCTCTTTCCTCCTTCTTTATCTCACCAACCGTAATTCCCTAGCATATCAAAACGGTAATAAGATCAACATGAACTTATATAAGGAAAATAAGACAATATTACATTAGGAAATATAATATATAAAGATCTTCCCTTTTATTCTGTGGTTCCAGGTGCTTGTTCGAACTAATCGAACTAATGCCAAAATAAAATATCTTTCACATTTCTTCTCTTCTGGCTTGAAAAGATAAAATGAGAAAGTAATTTTAGTGTTTAAACTGCAAAAGTAATTACATTTCTGATTTTGTTAATAGTTTAACTGTTGCAAAAATGAAAAACAATTTAACATCTTATTTATAGTGATTTTTTTCTTTTTTTCCCTTACAAAGTGGGATTAAAATCAAATATTTTGTGATGCCTTTTGAAAAGCGTTGGATGAAATACATATAGCGACAATTTTTAAAACATTGTAATTTGTTTAGTTAATTTCAATTCAGGCATTGATTTCTACATTTCAAATTCAAGATTATATACATTTGAAGAATGTGACATCGAATTTATTTTAAATTTTCGAATTCGAGTTAATGAATGCACCACATAATGTGGACAAAAGTTAGATAGTAGTCGTTGTTAGATAGCTACATGAACTTTCTTTTTGTTTTTATTTCAATGACGGGGAATTTGAACTGTACCACCTATAAAATTATTGTTGAGGGACTACGTTTGCCTTACGGTTGATATGCGTAATTAAATTGAACATTTCCTCTTAAATTACAATTGATAAATTAAGTACGGCACTTTCGATCCTTTCTTTTAATTTCCATACAAATCATCTAGAGACTATAGTCCTCATCAATTTACGTTTTACGAGATTGATACTAATATTAATTAACTTAATCACAAATTTTGATGTGATCATTAACTATGAAGTTGATCACAAGTCAAACAATCATATTTTGTTTAACAAAATTGGTTTTTGATAGTTTTTATGAAACGGTAGACCAACAATGATCTTGTAGATCTGATATTTCTATGCTCAATCATAAAAAAAAATAAAATAAAATAAAATAAAAAGAAAACACCAAATATGATGAAACTAGCAACAAAAAACACTTGTTTGCATAGCTCACAAAGTAAAAATTGATGATTTTAATGATACAACATTCATCTTTTTTGTCCTCAAAAGTCCACAAATTTGGCATACAAAATTAATTTCACAAATTTTGCCATATAATACAGTTGCCAGAAGAAAAATCCCGATCAACAAACTTTTCAATTTATCTTAATTTTTTCACGAAGCGTTCACTGCTGCCTGAATTTGTTCCAAAGTTCGACCCTTTGTTTCGGGCACAAACTCAATCACAAAGAGTATGGCTAAGGCATTCACGACGGCATAAAGAACGAACGTCCCTGCAAAAAATGCATTTTCGAACTTATAGCCAAATTTGAAGCAATTTGTATTTTCCCCATAACTGTTGTGAGGTAAATAAGTTCAAGTTAGAATAATGAATGTAAACTGTAATATCCTTTTTGTTGCTTCTAAGACTATGTTTGAAAAATCTAGCTGATAAGCTAGCTTATAAATTTTAAGTGAATTTCGAGCTTATAACTGATAGCTTATGACTTATGCCTGAAAAACTAGCTTATATGATAAAAGTATTTGGTAAAATTAGTTGATAAACTAACTGAAATAAAAATTTCAATAGGCTTATTTGAAAAGCTACCAAGAAGCTTATGAGATAAGCTCGTTTGTCCTACCAAACCAAACTTATTTGAATACAGAAAGCTTATAAGCTAATCAAATAAGCTATAAGTTACGTTATATGCTTACCAAACACAACTTAAGACACAATTGG